GAAATGTAATCAAATTTTAATTTAATTATCTAACTGTTAAAACCAATTAAGTCCTGAAACGGATTAAAGTCACTTTTACGAGGTGTTAATAATACATGATGACCGGCAAAAAAATGACCATGAAACGTGTACATCACGAGTGACAACATCTCACCTTGATGTCGCCGACCTTTGATCAGTCGTCTGTTTTCACACTTCGACTAATTGAGATGAAAATATGTTGGACTTTAATTGACGGGACCAAATTTTCTTTTCGACTAAACAGGAGTCTCGGTAACTCAAAATTTGACCTAAGCGGAGTTCAAATACAAAGATAAAGAAGGAAATTTGACGGGACTTTAGAAATTATTCGACTAAGGCGGAAATTTGAGTAAAGCGATTTTGACTTATTGAGAGTCAACTGTAAATTGTTGAAAGATCAAAATCGGAAACCAAGTTATAACAACAAGTTAAAGAGTTTATTTTTTTTTGCTATTGTAATAGTTTTATATTATATTTGTAATTATGCTGTAAACAAATGGCCAAATTTTTATATACAAAGTCTGAAAGTCAGTATCGTGATACGTATCGCATCGCAACATAAGAATCGCAATATGCATCGCAATTTTTCAAAGTATGCAATACATATCGTGAATCGCATCGTTTTGAAAAACAAATATCGTGATATGTATCGTGACAGAAAAAAATGGCAATGCACAGCCCTATCCAATACCCAAAGTTATTCTCACATGTTTAACTTAACACGTGTCGTGTGTCAGTCAATTGACCTCTTTTGTAATTTGGCAGTAGGTATTACACGCTACGTCATCAAAACTACCCTGTAAATTTACATGTATGAATTCGGCTCAACCTTTCATTTTCTTTGACTAGTGCCGCACTGATAAAGATAAAAGGTGAGCAGAATCATTTAAAGTGGATCATTCAACAACCTGTTCGAGATGTCTAATTAACCTATTTTTAGTGAGTGGGTAATTTTTTTGTTTTGTTTAGGAATGACACAATCATCGAGGCAAAAATGTGGATTTAATTAAAGGAACGATTCTTGAATTTATTTTGAGTCTTCTACTTATGTTACGTAATTTAACTGTCAGAGTCTTATGTTCATGAATAGTTGTTGCACGTTTTCAAATAGCTTGTAGCCAATATTGAATGACTGAAAAGACAGATATAATTTTTCAAACTGAAAATAATGAAATGTAAAAATGTGACTGTTTTAGAAATAGCCTGTATGACTACACTTATTTATTTATCTATTTATTATTTTTTGGTGAAATAAATTAATATTGATCAACAAAAAAATCATAAAAAGTATAATCATTTAATGATTTTGAGGGTAATATAGATTCTTTGAACCAAATGTGTCAAACACGCATTGAAATTCGAGTCGATGAAAAATCCAGTTTTGAGCCTCAAAATCCAGCTGAAAATCCAGATTTGGCCCATTTCATTTGTCACATGTATGTACTAAACATTTTATAAGTCAATTTTTGACCTTCAAGTGTGGCCTTGACCTTAAGCTGGCACAAGGGTAAGATGGGTTCTGCACATTGCCCAGTTGGGGTGAACAATTGAGTAAAGTTTAAAGAAAATCCTTCCATTAGTATAGAATTTATAGAGCGGACACGACATATTGTCTAGTATTGATTGTATGTAAATTTAAAGACTTAAAAAGGGGCATAACTTTGTCAAAATGCAATACAGAGTTATGAAACTTGACCTGCATATCTTATTTGTGACACCTCATATATCTTTTAAGTTTCAAGCAAATACCTTTTCTAGTTTCAGAAATATTCAAGTACATGTGAAAATTTAAGAACATTTTCTAAGTCAATTTTTGACCTTCAAGTGTGACCTTGACCTTTAGCCGGCACAAAGGTGACATTGATTCTGCACATAACCTTGTTGAGGTGAACATTTGAGTAAAGTTTGAAGAAAATTCTTCCATTAGTATAGGATTTATAGAGTGATCACAACATATTGTCTAATATTTGATTGTATGTAAATTTGAAGACTTAAAAAGGGGCATTACTTTGTTAAAATGCAATACAGAGTTAAGAAACTTGACCAGCATATCTTAATTGTGACACTTCATATATATTTTAAGTTTCAAGCAAATACCTTTCCTAGTTTCAGAAATATTCAAATTACATGTTAAAATTTAAGAATATTTACTAAGTCAATTTTTGACCTTCAAGTGTGACCTTGACCTTAAGTCAGCAAAAGGGTGACATGGGTTCTGCACATTACCTTGTTGAGGTGAACATTTGAGCCAAGATTGAAGAAAATCTTTCAATTAGTGTAGGACTTACAGAGCAGACACAACATATTGTGTAATATTTGATTGTTTGATATTTGACCTTCAATTGTGACCTTGTCCTTGAGCTGACACATGGACAACATGGGTTCTGCACATCCACTTGTTGAGGTGAACATTTGAGCCAAGTTTAAAGAAAATCCTTCAATTAGTGTAGGAATTACAGAGCGCACACAACATACTGTCTAATATTTGATTGTTTGATATTTGACCTTCAATTGTGACCTTGACCTTGAGCTGACGCATGGGCAACATGGGTTCTGCACATCCCCTTATTGAGGTGAACATTTGAGCCAAGTTTGAAGAAAATTTTTCAATTAGTGTAGAACTTACATAGCGGACACAACATACTGTGTAATATTTGATTGTTTGATATTTGACCTTCAATTGTGACCTTGACCTTGAGCTGACAAATGGGCAATATGGGTTCTGCACATTCCCTTGTTGAGGTGAACATTTGAGCCAAGTTTGAAGAAAATCTTTCAATTAGTGTAAAACTTACAGAGCGGACACAACATACTGTGTAATATTTGATTGTTTGATATTTGACCTTCAATTCTGACCTTGACCTTGAGCTGACACATAAGCAATATAGGTTCTGCACATCCCCTTGTTGAGGTGAACATTTGGGCCAAGTTTGAAGAAAATCTTTCAATTAGTGTAGGACTTACAGAGCGGACATGACATACTGTATAATATTTGATTGTGTTTGATATTTGACCTTCAATTGTGACCTTGACCTTGAGCTGACACATGGGCAACATGGGTTCTGAACATACCCTTGTTGAGGTGAACATTTGAGCCAAGTTTGAAGAAAATCATTCAATTGGTACAGGATCCATAGAGCGGACATGAAAATGGAGACGGACGGACCGACCGACTGACCGACCGACGAGACAAAGCGAATCCATTATAGCCCCCCCCCCACATTTTGTGGTGGGGGTATAATAAACAGTCCATGCTATATATTACCAAAATCTCAAGAAATATTGAGCTTGGTACACAAACCAGGAATAAAACATCTTTTAACAAAAATGACACTACTGGCTTTCTGTATATCAGGAAAGCTTTACGAAAGCGAGGGGTACCGAAACAAACACTTAGAACTAGAAATGTGTCCATAGGACACGGGTGCCCCCACACTCCAATCTGTCAATCTTATGTCTGTAGGTCAAATTTTTTTTTTGGCTACATGTGCCCAAGTTGAAAACTAAAAATCTTTTATTAAGTAAAGGGCAAATACTACAAATACTGAATAAATCCACAAGAAAACTCCAAGGTGCATAAGTATACATGCTGACCAACATTCTTGTTAACTTTCAGGCCTACAGGTCATAAACTTTTTGAGTTATGTGCAACACAAGTTAAATATTGTAAATTTTTACTAAGTCAAGAGCAATAACTCTAAAAATACTAAGAATATCCACACAAAAATACCCAGGTGCACAACTACACATGCTGATCAACATTCCAGTAAGGTTTCATGACTCTAGGTCAAATATTTTTTAGTTACATGCGACACAAGTTGAAAATTGCAAATTTTTACTAAGTCAAGGGCAAAAACTCTAAAAATACTAAATATATCCACATGAAAATACCCAGGTGCACAACTTCACATGCTGATCAACATTCCTGTAAAGTTTTTATGACTCTTGGTCAATTACTTTTTGAGCTACGAGCCACACAAAAAGACAATGGACGGACAGACAGACGGAAGGATGTACGGATGGACGGACAAGGGTAAATCTAAATGCCCCCCCTTAAAGTGGGGGCACAAAAACTTGGTACCTACCCTACCCAACTTTTTCAGCCTGTTCCCCAAAACACAGATTGTCTTTTTGGCCATACCAAGTTTGATTACAATATCTCATTCCTAACTCTAAATAGTGTCTGGAAACCATTTTTCTATTTTTCGTAATGTCAACATTGACCTTGATCCAAGGGGGTCCAAATGCAATACCAACTAAGGTTTCCACATAAGGTATAAAGCAACCTCATTTTTACATCTAAAACTGTGCACATGACCCTAATTTCATGGCTGTACATCAAAGGACAAGACATTAGGTCACTTTGTCAAATTCAAGGTCAACTGATATAAAAGTTGAATTTAAAGCAGCTTATGGTCAAAATTTCATAGCTGTTTATCAAAGGACAAGAAAGTAGGTCATTTATCACAATCAAGGTCAGCTGATATTAAAATTCTAACATTTCACTTTAGTTAATTCAGAGAAGGTTTTTTAAGTATTAACTAAAAACATATAAGGAAAACCAATGATCCCCAGAGCAGGGCCAATTTTGACCCAGGGCTATAATTTGAACAATCTTTGTAGAGGTCTACTAGACAAGGCCATATGCAAAATATCTAAGCTGTAGGCATTGTGGGTCTTTACAAGAAGTTTTTAAAAAAAAAATTTTCTTATAATTCCTTTTGGTTGCCATGGCAACCAGATTTTTGCATGAAATCAAATTCTTTGAACAACCTTTCAAAGCCTTTCACGCAAGAACAATGCTGCCAAGTTAAGTTGAAATCAGAAAAGTGGTTTTAAACAAGAGGATTTTTTAAGTTCACTATATAATCTATATAACAGACAGACAGACAGGCACGCACACACGCACACAATCACACACGCACACACACACACAGGTGAATCGTTATATGCCACCTCAGCATCTGCCTTAATCTTACCTTAAAAATTAATAATTCCTGGAAAAGTTAGTGTCCTTTCTGTGATTCCTTGGAAGCCATTATAAGAGGAACTAGACTGGCTAAAGGCTTAGCTAGACGTAGAAATGGATGCTAAAATAAACAAAATGCATACATTTTAAGTATTATTAAAAAGTTTAACAAGCACTGGTGTTGCAAACAAAACTAAGGTTTTGAAACTAGAAGGGTTTTTGTCACAAAAACATAATTGTCTCCCAAAACGATGTATTGTCATTCATGTGAAGTTTCATTGAAATCCCACCAGTAGCTTCACCTGTGAAAGCCGGACAAGATTTTTCTATTTATAGCTCTGATGGCCATTTTGTGCAGCGAAGCGGAATGTGCCTGTATTCTGCACAACTAGGGATGGTACTGATCACTCCTGTAATTTTTGGTTAAAAGTCCCATCAGAAGTTTGACTTGTGAAGGCGGGACAAGGTTTTTCTATTTCTAGCTCTGGCGACCATTATGTGCAGCAAAGCGGAACTGTGATGCCTGTGATGTGCACAACTATGGATGGTTCTGATCACTCCTGTAAAGTTTGGCTGAAATCCAACCAGTAGTTTGACCTGTGAAGGCCAAACAAGAATTTTCTAATTTTTGTCTCTGGCGGCCATTTTGTGCAGCAAAGGTGATGTGCACAACTAGGGATGGTACTGATCACTCCTGTAAAGTGTGGTTGAAATCCCATGAGCAGTTCGACCTGTGACAGTCAAACAAGTTTAATGGGGATGGACAGAAAGACGGCGAAGGCAAAAACAACAAGAGGGCCATGATGGCCCTGAGTCGCTCACCAGAAACAACTGCTTTCTAGTGTTGGAATGTCAATATATTCTTATATTAAATTTGAGCATAGAATATGTTTAAACAATAACTTGAAGAAATGCCATGACCTGGGGTATTTAAGCTTTAGCTTAAACGGGGCTAATCAAATTAATACGAGCAAACTTGATAAAAGACTACCCAAGAATGCTACAGGCAAAGTTTGGTGATCATCCATCAATTAGTTCTGTAGAAATAGACATTTAACGGTATTTCTATTTTTAGCTATAGAGACCCCTAAAAGGGGCTAATCAAATGAATATGAGCAAACTTAATAAAAGACTATCCAAGAATGCTACAGACAAAGTTTGGTGATCTTCCATCAATTAGTTCTGTAGAAATAGACATTTAAAGGTATTTCTATTTTTAGCTTTTGCGGCCCCTAAAAGGGGCCAATCAAAATAATATTAGCAAACTTGATAAAAGACTACCTAAGAATGCTACAGACAAAGTTTGGTGATCATCCATCAATTAGTTCTCTAGAAATAGACATTTAAAGGTATTTCTATTTTTAGCTTTTGCGGCCCCTAAAAGGGGCCAATCAAATTAATATGAGCAAACTTGATAAAACACTACCCGAGAATGCTACTGACAAAGTTTGGAGATCATCCATCAATTAGTTCTGTAGGAGAAGATGTTTAAAGGTTTTTCTATTTTTAGCCCTAGAGACCCCTAAAAGGGGCCAATCAAAATAATATTAGCAAACTTGATAAAAGACTACCCAAGAATGCTACAGACAAAGTTTGGTGATCATCCATCAATTAGTTCTCTAGAAATAGACATTTAACGGTATTTCTATTTTTAGCTTTAGCGGCCCCTAAAAGGGGCCAATCAAATTAATATGAGCAAACTTGATAAAACACTACCCAAGAATGCTACAGACAAAGTTTGGTGATCATCCATCAATTAGTTCTGTAGAAGAAGATGTTTAAAGGTTTTTCTATTTTTAGCCCTAGAGACCCCTAAAAGGGGCCAATCAAAATAATATTAGCAAACTTGATAAAAGACTACCTAAGAATGCTACAGACAAAGTTTGGTGATCATCCATCAATTAGTTCTGTAGAAATAGACGTTTAAAGGTTTTTCTATTTTTAGCTTTAGCGGCCCCTAAAAGGGGCCAATCAAATTAATATGAGCAAACTTGATAAAAGACTACCCAAGAATGCTACAGACAAAGTTTGGTGATCATCCATCCATTAGTTCTGTAGAAGAAGATGTTTAAAGGTTTTTCTATTTTTAGCCCTAGAGACCCCTTAAAGGGGCCAATCAAATTAATATGAGCAAACTTGATAAAAGACTACCCAAGGATGCTACAGACAAAGTTTGGTGATCATCCATCCATTAGTTCTGTAGAAGAAGATGTTTAAAGGTTTTTCTATTTTTAGCTCTGCTGACCCCTAAAAAGGGCCAATTGGAATGACATGAGCAAATTCAAGTGTGACTGTCACAAGGATGCTACAGACCAAATTTGAAGTAAATCTGCCCAGTAGTTTCAGAGAAGAAGACGATTGTTGACGCATGACGACGGATGCCGGAGCATCCCCCTTTGATACTAATAGCTCACCCTGAGCCTTCGGCTCTTGTGAGCTAATAACATAATAATAAGAGGGCAATTATGGCCCTACATGACTGACTAAGATTGATCACTAAACAAAAATGTCTTTGTTAAATACAAATGCCCCTGGCCCAGATTCTTGTCATTTACAGTTTTCACAAAGGTTTACCCATTTACTCAGGGTATTTTGAACCCTTGGGCCATAATTTGAACAATTTTTGGTTTAGGTAAAGTACACAATGTTTCATGCCAAATATCTAACCTCTAACCATTGTCAATTCAGAGAAGAAGACTTTTTAAGTTTTTACTATATTCATATAAGGAAAGCCTATGACCCCAGGGCGGGGCCAATTTTGACACGAGGGGCCAATTTCATTTAAACAACTAAGGTACAAGACCTATAGATGATATCATATACTAAATATCAAAGCTCTAAGTGATGTACCTTCAGAGAAAAAGATATTTAATGTTTTTACTATAAGTACAAAATAAAAATCAATGACCACGGGGGTGGGCCAATTTTGAACCCAGGGCTACAATTTGAACAATCTTGGTATTGGTCCGCTTCAAAATGTTTCAAATATGTCAAATATCTTACCTCTTCATATAAGGAAAACCTATGACCTCCGGGGCCAGGACAATTTTAATACTAGAACAATCACTAAATGTGATTAATACCCCCGCAAAGCTGCTTAGGAAATGAGGAAGTTACTAGTAACAGAATACCTTGTAAAAGAATTGAAATAGAGATATAGTTGTGGGCAATTAAAGATAGTTGTGGTTTTTTTATGTTGTATTTCCTTTCACTGTGGTTGACCATTGATGAAGTTTTATTGAATTACTCTTTAATAAGTCCAGAAAGAATTAAGCTACTTGAGCAATGCACTTCATCTCGTTGCCCTTGACCATTGTATAAAGTTGCATTGAATTCTAAACATTAGTTTTTAAATTATGCATCTGACAAGGAAAATAAATAAAGGGCAATAACTCTACAAATACTAAAGATAAAGTTATGGTTATTGTACACTGCACTTCCTCTCATTGTGCTTGACCATTGTATGAAGTTGTATTGAATTCCAACTACTAGTTTTCAAGTTATGCACTGGACAAAAAAAGTAACAAAGGGCAATAACTGTAATTAGTTCAAATAGAGTTATGGTTCTTGTGCACTGCACTTCATCTCACTGCCCTTGACCATTGTATGTTGATTCTTTGAATTCCATCCATTAATTATTATGCACAGGACAATAAAAAGTAATAAAGGGCAAAAACTCTTAAATGAGTCAAGAAAGAGTTATGGTTTCTGTGCACTGCGCTTTCTCTCAATATACTTGACCCATGTAATTGTATTGAATTCCAACTAGTAGTTTTCAAGTTATGCTATGGCCAAGAAAAAAGCAATGGAAAAGTAACAAAGGACAATAACTCTATAATTACTCTGAATAGAGTTATGGCTCTTGTGCACTGCACTTCCTCATATTGTGCTTGACCATTGTTTGAAGCTGTTTTGAATTCCAACCAGTACTGTTCAAGTTATGCTCCGGACAAGGAAAAGTATCAAAGGGCAATAACTCTGTAATTTGTCAAAATGGTGTTATTGTTCTTTTGCACTGTACTTCCTCTTAATGTGCTTGACGATTGTATGAAGTTGTATTGAATTCCAACTAGTACTTTTCAAGTTATGCTCCGGACAAGGAAAAGTAACAAAGGCCAGTAACTCTGTAATTAGTCAAGATAGAGTTATGGTTCTTGTGCACTGCACTTCCTCTCAATGTGCTTGACCATTGTATGAAATTATATTGAATTCCAACCATTAGTCTTCAAGTTATGGTTCGGACAAAAGAAAGCAATTGTTACTTGGACAAAAGAAAGCAATGGAAAAGTAACAAAGGGCAATAACTCTGTAATTACTTTAGATAGAGTTATGGTTCTTGTGCACTGCACTTCCCCTTATTGTGCTTGACAATTATATGAAGTTGTTTTGAATTCCAACCAGTAGTTTTTAAGTTATGCTCCGGACAAGGAAAAGTAACAAAGGGCAATAACTCTGTAGTTAGTCAAGATGGAGTTATGGTTCTTGTGCACTGCACTTCCTCTCAATGTGCTTGACCATTGTATGAAGTTATATTGACTTCCAATCAATAGTTTTCAAGTTATGCTCCGGACAAGGAAAATGCAACGGACCGCTGGACCGACCGACCACCGGGTGACTCCTATATACCCCCCCAAACTTCGTTTTTGGGGATATAATAATTGAATGTACGCATGTGGTTGGTCTTATTGGAATCTCATTATATTTTCCTAAATAAGCCTATGTAAACTAAGTAACTCTTGGGGGGGGGGGGGCTTCTTTTTGACCCCCAGGGGCATAATTTAATAACATTTGTAAAGGGCCACATGATGATGCTACATGTCAAAATACCTAAGCTATGGGCATGTAGTTTCTGAGAAGGAATATTTTTTAAGATTTCATATTTAACCGAACAAGTTTTTCTTACATATATAAGCTTTTTTATTTAGCTCCCGTGACCTACTAAGGAATCATATTGGAAATGAAAAATTTAATAGAAGACCATGTCAGGATCATTCCTTTGAAGTTTGGTAAAATGCATGCAGTGGTTTAGGAGATAATCTTGTACAACAACAAGGCTGTATCAATAGAAGTATTCTTTCTTTTAAAAAGTTGATATATAGCCCTCTATAAACATATCAAGCATTTTCAAGACAGCTTTCGTATTATTTTAGTTATGACTGAATCCAGAATCTTTGATCGGACAGATGGATGGACTTACAAAGGGTAAATCTATAGTCTCCACCAGTTAAACCAAAAGGGGAATTAAGTTTAGCAGTGGTAAAAAAGGTGATGCTTTATTCAAAATATCTAAGCTCGGGCATTGAAGTTTCTGAGAAGAAATGTTTTTTAACATTTTTACTACACAAGTTAGGTTAAGATTTTAGTGACCCAAATGGCTGACCTTTTCTAAAGCAAATGACATAACTTTTATAACTTTTGTATACAGCCATTAAGAAATGCTACATGCTAAATATCTGAACTCCCAGATGAGGCTCAACTTAACCTCATGAGCATTGTTTCTAAAAATTTTGTAGGAGACCACAAGGTGATGCCAAATAACTTAGTTCTGGGCATTGTACTTTCTGAAAAACGGTTTTTAAATACTTCATTTTTAAAGTCTAATTTTAGCTTCTGAGACCTACTTATACATAAGACTGTAATCATTTATATAACGATACAAGAGTGCCACTTTAGGGAGATGTTGTCTATTGCAATTGTGGAAAACAACAAAAACAGACATACTGTCATCACAAAAAGCTCACCTCTTAGCACTTTAGGTTTGTTTGTTTCATTTTACGCCTTTTCCCAACAGTATTTCAGTCATATAGACGACATCGTTCCTGGAGAGTTACACCAGTACTAGACTACCTTCCTCCGTGCTAAACTACCAAAGCACCTCCTGGGGATCGAACCCACGCCAGAGACGTAACTGGATTAGAAGTCATCAACTTTAACCCCTCGACCACGGAGGCGGTCTTCTGAGCACTTTGAGCTCAGGCAGGCTAAAAATTATGCAAAATATAGCTATGGTTCTTGAGTCAAGTTCAATCATACCTTCAGTAACTCTGAAGCAGCTGCTCTTTTTTCAACATCCACTTCAAGACATTTATCCAGGAAATCTTGGAAGACAGGAGACAATGTATGTTTCTCCTTAATCTCTGGCTTACCATTGGTTGCAATCAAATACAATGCCTGAAATAGTACATGTGTCAAGAAAGTGACTGGTTTTGATGTTATTTTTCGGTAATAAACCATACCCACTTCCCAAGATATGGAAACAAACAAAGCAGCACTTACTTTAATACTAGCAAGTTATTGTTAAGGTACTTTTATCTAATATTAATATATACATCAAATAAGCACAATGTTAATCATTATTTACAACCAAAACAAACACACAAAATTAACAAGAGGGCCATGATGGCCCTGAAATCGCTCACCTGTATATAGGCCCTTGGGGCGGGCTAATTTTTACCCAGGGGCTTTTTTTTAACCGACTTGGTAGGTACCCATTAGAAGATGTTTCATGATAAACATCTAAGCTCTAGCCCTCGGGTTTTTAAAAGAAGATTTGTTAAGTTTTTACTATAGACATATAAGGAAAATCAGAACCCGGGCAGGGCCAATTTAACCCTGGGGCTTTTATTTTAACAAATTTGGTAGACATTCACTAGAAGATGTTTCATGTTTGATATCTAAGCTCTAGCTCTATGGGTTATTTAAAAGAAGATTTTTAAATTTTTTACTATAGACATAGAATAAAGGAAAATCAGTACCCCGGGGTGGGGTCAATTTTGATCCCAGGGCTTTTATTTGAACAAACTTGGTAGACACTCACCAGAAGATGTTTCATGCTTAATATCTAAGCTCTAACTCTTTTGGTTTTTAAAAAAGAATTTTTACTATATACATATAAGGAAAATCAATGACCCCCAAGGGTGGGGCTAATTTTGACCCAAGTGATTTTATTTGAACAAACTTGATAGACACTCACTAGAAGATGTTTCATATTTCATATTTCTTATGACACATCCATATCTTTAATTTGAGTTGCATATGTTGGGGAGATAATGAATGGGAACTGAAAATTTCCTTTTTTCAAAGTTAAAGGGGCATAACTCTGCCAAAAATCATCGAACCATGACAAAATTCACACTTGACCTGCGCATTTCTTTGACATATCCATATGTTTGAGTGGAATGTGAAATCCCAAGAGGAGATAATGAACGGAAACTGAAAATTTCATGTTATTTTCAAAGTGAAAGGGACATAACCCTGCCAAAAATCATCGAACCATGACCAAATTCAAACTTGACCTGCGCATTCCTTTGACATATCCATATGTCAAATTTGAGTTGAATATGTAACACTGTTGGGGAGATAATTAACAAAAACTGAAAATTTTATATTATTTTCAAAGTGAAAGGGGCATTACTCTGCCAAAAATCACTGAACCATGACCAAATTCGAACTAAGCTTGCGCATTCCATTTACATATCCATATGTCAAATTTCAGTTGAATGTGTTGTACCGTGTTATTTCCTCATGACATATTCATATGTCAAGTTTGAGTTGAATGTGTTGTACTGTTGGGGAGATAATGAACGGAAACTGAAATTTTCATATTATTTTCAAAGTAAAAGGGGCATAACTCTGCCAAAAATCATTGAGCCATGACCAAATTCGAACTTGACCTGTATTTTCTCATGACATATCCATATGTCAAATTTGAGTTGAATGTGTGTAACCGTTATCAAGATAATGAACGGAAACTGATGATGACGGAATGACAGAAAGACGGAATGTCAGGGAACAGGGAAACCACTGACCAGTTTTTCGGCGCCGCCCCCATCAAAATGTTACATCAGGGGGTTGGGGGGTTTTATCGCCAAGAAAATTTTGGACATGTGACAGGTTAAAAATGGCCTCAGGGTAATCTAAGGATAACTAGTAACCGACGCTGAAAAGCGTTTTACTCTATCTCAATTCATTGTGAAGTTACAGCACTTTGAAATCAGTTTTGATGGAAAAAAAAAACAATGCAAAATAGTGCTTTTGCCCCCCCCCCCCAACCCTTGTTTTTGAGGCCTCAAACAGTGAAAAAATGCCCTATTTAGGCCCAAAACACTGTTTATTGTTTGAGAACAGTGACCATTTTTTCGGCGCAGCCCCCATCAAAATGCTACATCAGGGGTGCCAGAAGGGGGATGTGCCTCCTTCTGTTTGGCGTGTTTGAAGGGGGGGGGGGGGAAGTCCCCCTCATCGCTAAGAAAATTTTGGACATGGATAAAAATGGCTTCAGGTCGATCTAAGGGTAACTTGTAAGACGCTGAAAAGCGTTTTACTCTATCTCAATTCATTGAGAAGTTGCAGCACTTTGAAATCAGTTTTGATGGGAAAAAACAATGCAAAATAGTGATTTTTTGGCAATTTTGAGACGTCCCCCTGTTGCCATGGTAATATGAAATTTATGATTGAGCATGCTGTTACAGAGGCTATGCTTGGTCTAGTCAACATTTGTTTCATCAATATTGAAGCATTTTTCATAGTTTCATAGCAGTTTGAACTTGTTACAGGTGGCTTTTCAATGAAAACGGCCATTTTTACGCAATATGCTCATGGGGTAAAAGGTTAAGTAAGAAAATTAGCGAAGGGCAATAACTCAAAAAATCATTAAGTACAGAGTACCGGTTCTTGTGCACTGCACTTCATCTCTATGAGATCTAACATCCTATGAAGTTTCAAGTCCATAGCATTTATAGTTTATGAGAAATGGCCAGGATAAACTAGAACTGCCACTATCATGGCGTGAATACCCCCGCATACCACTTTGTCAGAATCAACAGTGGCCATTTAGAGCTCAAGGACAACCTCCCTGCCAAATCTGAGGTTACTAAGCCAGTGCATTGCTAAGTTATGTATTCTACATGCTTCAAATGTGAAAATGTCAAAATCAATACATTGCGGACAGGACATTCTTTAGCAATTAAGAAGAAAAGCTTTTTTTTGTCAAGGTCCCTGTGACCTTGACCTTTGTCCCAGTGACCTCAAAATCAATAGGGGTCACCTTATAGTCATGATCAACATCCATGCCAAATATGAAGACTGTGGGTCAAAGGAATCTTAAGTTAATGGGTGGACAAACTTTTTGAAGTCAAAGTCCCTATGACCTTGACCTTTGATCCAGTGACCTCAAAATCAAAAGGGGTCATCTACTAATCATGATCAACATCCATGCCAAATATGAAGACTGTGGGTCAAAGGAATCTAAAGTTATTGGCAAACAAACTTTTAGAAGTCAAAGTCCCTGTGACCTTGACCTTTGACCTGGTGACCTCAAAATCAATAGGGGTCATCTACTAATCATGACTAACCTCCATGCCAAATATGAAGACTGTGGGTCAAAGGAATCTTAAGTTATAGGGCGGACAAGCTTTTTGAAGTCAAGGCCCCTGTGACCTTGACCTTTGACCTGGTGACCTCAAAGTCAATAGGGGTCAGAGCTGCATCAGTACTAAGGGTGTAGTACTTAAGTACCAGTACCAGTACTTGGCAAATTATGCAGTACCATTACCAGTACCAGTACTAGATTTTAGCTCGGTACTGCAGTACCAGTACTTTTTTTGGTGAAGTAATTAAGTATCAGTACCATTACTTTTATATATTCATCAAAGTTTGAATAAATACAGTGTCAAACAAATAATTGCAAATATTATTCAGCAAAGAAGTAAAATCATAATTTACTTTAAAGTTAACATAACATATTTACAACTTTATAGTTTTAAAATACTTTTTACAAGTAATATTTACAACATATATTCATGTCATATCTAATTGTTTAGTAACCAGTCAACTGTATAAATACAATGCAAACATCTTTCATTTAAAACACAACAGTCTTTTGTTGCCTTTCACACCTTCACACCTCTGTTCAATTTATACCAAAGTAAATAACAACTTTTTATGGTGTTAACAATATCACTTTTTTCACTTGAAATGGGATTTTTTAGAATAGAAGAAATTAATTAGTGTTTATTTTGCTCTTTTACTAGTAAAAACAAAGTAATAAAAGATTTTAATAAGGATATTTAAGGGTAAAGAGTTATTGAGTCTGTTTATCTTAATTTAATTTTTACTTAAAGTCTTTTGTGCTTTTTATGATGAATTCTATGTTAACATTTGAAGGAATATTGCAGCAAATTATCTTTAGATTTGATAACTTACTTTTTCACAAAAATAAAATATAGTTAATGTAATTTACAGCTTTATTTTATCAGAAAGTTGATGTTATTTTTTATTTTTATCAAAACCAAAAGTACTGGGTAATGCAGTAGCAGTACCACTTTTTAAGACAGTAATGCAGTACCAGTACCAGTAGTAGCAAAATTTTGTAAGAGTAATTCAGTATCAGTACCAGTACTTGCAAAATTGCTGCAGTACGTACTGCAGTACCAGTACCAGTACCAGTAATGCAGCTCTGATAGGGGTCATCTACTAATCATGACTTACCTCCATGCCAAATATGAAGACTGTGGGTCAAAGGAATCTTAATTTATTGGGGGGACAAGCTTTTTGAAGTCAAGGCCCCTGTGACCTTGACCTTTGACCTGGTGACCTCAAAGTCAATAGGGGTCATCTACTTATCATGACTAGCCTCCATGCCAAATATGAAGACTGTGGGTCAAAGGAATCTTAAGTTATTGGGCGGACAAACTTTTTGAAGTCAAGGCCCCTGTGACCTTGACCTTTAACCTAGTGACCTCAAAATCAATAGGGGTCATCTACTTATCATGACTTACCTCCATGCCAAATATGACGACTGTAGGTCAAAGGAATCTTACGTTATTGGGCGGACAAGCTTTTTGAAGTCAAGGCCCCTGTGACCTTGACCTAGTGACCTCAAAATCAATAGGGGTCATCTAATAATCATGACTAACCTCCATGCCAAATATGAAGACTAAGGGTCAAAGGAATCTTAAGTTATTGGGTGGACAAGAAAAAACCGCGGGACAGCCGGACGGACAAGCCGATTCCAGTATACCCCCCTTACAACTTTGTTGTGCGGGGGTATAAATAGAGTATGACTATTAACAAAGGGCAATAACTAAAAAAACAAGATTGCATTTGTGAAAAATGCTATGTCACCGCATTAATACAACACTAAGTAGTAGTGTAGGAACAGATTTGTTTTT